TACCAAATCTTGCGGGTAAGCATTTTAAGAACTTATGAGAGAAGTCCTTGTCCTCCACCTTCTCAAAAAGTGCTTTCAGATCATTAACAAGCACTTCCATCCGATGGAACATGTCTGACACACTCTCATCTTCCCTCATCTTGAAGCTAGCAAATTTCTCCTTGAGAATGTATGCCTTTGCACCCTTCATTTCCTTGGTGCCCTTGAATGATTCTTCCAACTTCTTCCAAGCCTCATGAGCCATCTCAATGTTCTTGATTTGCTCAAATGTTCTCTCATTAATTGCATCATGAATGGCATTTAGAGCAATGTCATTGTTTTAGAGAAGCACTTCTTTGGCCGCGGTGGGATTCTCTGGATCGGCAATCTCAATTTTAGTTTCTACCACCTTCACACCCTTATATTGATTGACTTGATATGTGTGGTCATCTTTGACTTCAAATATGGATAATTTGTGCCATCAAATTGGGGTGGCTTCTTGATGTTGTTGATTTGAGCCATTTTGACACCGAAGGTTGTTAAGCCTCAAATCACGGTGACCTCGGCTCTGATACCACTTGAAAGGTCCTAATGGCTAGAGGGGCGTGAATAGCCTATCAAAATTTCTACAACAACACTTAGCAAACTGGTTAGACAAATATGAGGCGAAGCGAGTGTTGCGCTAGCCTACTAAAAATGCAAGCCACCTACCACAATTCTAGTTTCGATAGTCTCTATTCACACAATGGCTATATCACTACACTAAGTTAGTGTGCTCTCAAAAGCTAACTAAAACGCCACACTAACCAAAATAACAAGCTCTCACGACTAGCTACACTAAAGAGCTTGACAACTAGTTTGCGGTAATGTAAAGAGAGAGAGCGAGATGGTTATACCGCCGAGTCGAGGAATGAACCAATCAATCACAAGAATGAATATCAACGAAGACCAATCACCTTAGAATAAAATGATGACACAATGATTTTTTACCGAGGTTCACTTGCTTGTCGGTAAGCTAGTCCTCGTTGTGGCGATTCACTCACTTAGAGGTTCACGCGCTAATTGGCATCACACGCTAACCTCTCAATAGGGTGCCGCACAACCAACACAAGATGAGGATCGCACAAGCCACGAGCAATTTACTAGAGTACCTTTTGGCTCTCCACTAGGGAAAGATCAAGAACCCCTCACAATCACCACGATCGGAGCCGGAGATAATCACCAACCTTCGCTCGACGATCCTCGCTGCTCCAAGCCATCTAGGTGGCGGCAACCACCAAGAGTAATAAGTGAATCCCGCAGCGAAACACGAACACCAAGTGCCTCTAGATGCAAACACTCAAGCAATGCACTTGGATTCACTCCCAATCTCACAAAGACGATGAATCAATGATGGAGATGAGTGGGAGGGCTTTGGCTAAGCTCACAAGGTTGCTATCTCAATGCAAATGGCCAAGAGGGTGAGCTTGAGCTGGCCAAACGGTATTTATAGACACCCCAAACAATAGAGCCGTTGGCTTAATCATTGGGCTGATTGCGGGACAACCGAACACGCAGGTCATGTGCACCGGACGCATCTGGTCACAGGCAAACCGCCACGTGTCTCTTTCAAATTGTTTAGCCACACACAGTAATACTACATGATCGAACACGCTGTTAGAAAACGACTGGACGCAGAAGACGCAGTGTCCAGTCGAGTCCATAGAGCTCCCAAAGCCGCCCTGGGCCGACCGGACGTGTCCGGTCACACCGGACCGGACGCTCCTAGTGTCCGATCAATTATAGCGCTGAAACCCGAGACTTGCTGGTTCACACCGGACATGTCCGGTGTGGCGACCAGACGTGTCTGGTCACTGCGTCCGGTCGCTGTCTGCAATCTTGCTTCGGGCTATATCACTTTGACCTGATGCTGAACAGTAACTCGTCAGTGTCCGGTCACTCCACTGAGCCAAAGTCCGGTCACTTTCACTTAGTCGCTCACCCCGGGTCCAAATATCGGACGCGTCTGGTAGACACACCGGACGCGTCTAGTCACTCCTGTCTGACTACCTGAAGTCTAGATAAAATACCGGACGCGTCCGGTCACTCTGTGACCAGCGCGACTAACTCCTTTTCAACTCTATCTTCTTTACCCTTGCTCAAATGTGCCAGCCACCAAGTGTATCACCTTGTGCATATGTGTTAGCATATTTTCACAAATGTTTTCAAGGGTGTTAGCACTCGACTAGATCCTAAATGCATATGTAATGAGTTAGAGCATCTAGTGGCACTTTGATAACCGCATTTCAATACGAGTTTCATCACTCTTAATAGTACGGCTATCGATCCTAAATGTGATCACACTAAGTGTCTCGATTACCAAAACAAAAAAGTTTCTATCAAGTTTCACCTTTGCCTTGAGCTTTTTGTTTTTCTCTTACTTCTTTTCTAAGTCCAAGTACTTGATCATCACCATCATCAAGTCATGATCTTCATTTGCTTCAACACTTGGAGTAGTGCTACATATCTCATAATCACATTGATAAACTAGGTTAGCACTAAGAGTTTCATCAATTCACCAAAACTAAACTAGAGCTTTCACCGGCCTCATCGGAGTGGTGGTGTGATCGTTGGCTCGCTCCGACCGGTCCCAACGTTGTGCCTGTGTGCCCCTGTCTGTGGCTCCATGCTTGAGGATCGACCCGGCGGTGTTTCTAGAGATGAAAGAGGAGTTGTGCCTAGATCTAGAGGTTGTGACCAATGGCGGTGCTTGAATGGGTCATCCCCCCTCTAGCCCAAGCATGGCCACCGAAGCTCACATCTGGAGGTAGGGCAGCAACGGGCCCCTATGGTGCCTGTAATGGAGGTGGTCGGCAGGGCGGCGGGTAGTGGCAAGGCGTCATGGCATCGTCCTTTGGGTGGCGGCGGGTGTGGCGGAGGATGGTGGTGACCTAAGCGTTGATGGTCAGTCCTCGGCAGGGAGAAGGCAGATCCAGCGGAGGTGGGTCCGTAGGCAGTTGTGTCCTTGGGGCGGCGCCGCGACAGTAGATTGAGTGCTGGTGCAAGGATCTCGGCGAGGAGGAGGCGGATCCCATTGGCAGCGGTGGCTTGGGAGTCCAGGCGGAAGAGGATATCCTTGGCGGCAGCGATAGAGGACTCTGGCAGAGGCGACGATCATGATCCCAATGATAGTGTTGCCCTATGGGCGACGGTGGCCTTGGAATATGGCGAAGTAGAAGCTAGTGTTTGATCGGCTAGTTGTGACTGGACGGCGACCGATGAAGGTGGGCTAACCAGCGACACGTGGCGTGAGCTCACTCGAAGCGGATGAAGATGGTACAAGCGGAGGTTTGCAGCGATGGCGCACTAGGGGCGATGGCGACTTGACGACTTCCACTCACCGAATCTCGACGTTTCATGAGAGGAGGTCGAGAAGCAGGGATGTGCCAAGGTCATCGTTTTTTCCCTTTTTTGGTTGTGTATGAAACTCTTTGTTGTGGCATTGGTCTTAGGATTCTTATGTTCTTTTGAGTGTGTATATCCTCTATGGATATAGAGGTCGGGTTAATAAAAATTCATTATCTAAAAGATATACTCCCTCATCCAAAATAGATGACATTTTAGTTATGAATCAGAACAATAGCTACACTATCTTCTATTGTGAGGCGAATCAAGTAATCCTAAACAAATACTCCCTCTATATAAGTCGCTTTGACTTTTTTGGTTCATCTATTTTGTTATGTACGTAGACATATTGTTATATCTACTAGATGCATAATAAAATGGATATATCAAAAAAATCAAAATGACTTATAATTTAGAACGGAGGGAGTACTCCCTCTATTTTAATTTATTATATATATATAGTTTTGACATTTGTAAATGTACAACTTTTATTTTATCTAGACATAGTCAAAACGACTTATAATTTAGAACGGAGTGAGTACTTCCTCTATTTTAATTTATTATATATAGATAGTTTTGGCATTTATAAATATATAACTTTTATTGTATATCTAGACATATAGTATATTAAGTTGTATAACAACTTTTATTATATATCTAAATATGTACCTAGAACAGAACGTGGTACTATATCTAAAGAAAAGACGAATAAACAACCCACCTTATTTCCGGTGTTAGCTGGATGCAGGATGCATCACCGGGCTGAAGATGCGTCGCTGGGGTAGGAAAATTGTTTTATTTTTTTATAAAAAGAAATAAAAAACACGTGCTTGTCGTCCACTCGGAGCGAAGGTCGATGCGACGATGCCGCTCGCCGTGCACACGGAGGACGATGGGGCGCATGCGGAGGCCGTCATCCGTAACGGTGAGGCTCCAGCTCCCTCTCTTCTTCTCACCCTGCGTTCCTTACCTCCACACCACAGCTTCTTGGTCCGGCAGATCCCTGTCTCTGCGCCCCTTCGCTATGGCGAGGAGGGGAGGACTGAGGACGACGCGGCAGCGGCCAGGGCGCCTGCACCTCATCGCTATCAGCGAGGAGACGGAGGACGGCGGCAGCAGCCAATGCCCCTTCTCTATCGGCGAGGAGAGGGAGGATGGCAACGGCGGAGGTGCCCGCTCAAATCCTCTGCCCACAACCTGTTCGACGAAATACTTCTATGGAGGTAAACTTAACCATGTTCAGATGTGGTGATTGTATCTTGGATAAAGTAACCAACCAAACATATAATTTCTTATACAGGCTAAGCTAGCCAATGCAACCAAACAAGTGCATCTTGGATTTTTGAAGCCAGGCTATGGCTGCCCAGGCTTAGTTGGCTAGCCAGACCAGGTTTTAAACATGAACCAAACACACCCAAACTACTTGGATGATCTAGACGTACAACCACACTCTTTAGTCTTTACATACTTGAAAAAAAAAGACAAGCTGAAATAATTTATCCAGCTTCCAGAAAAAATGAATGCGTGAAAATAAAAGAGCAGGGCAGAACTCCACGTAATATAATTCAGTTTTGGTTCATCATTCATCAAGGAGAAATAACAGCATGATTGGTTGATTTTCATAAAATCTGGAACAGGTCCCTCTATTTCTGATGCACTCTACGGTCTTCGTCTCCGGACTAGGCTTTGCCACTTATTTCTGCTGGAGGCTGGCTCTGGTTTCTTTTCCTCTGGTCCTGCTTCTCATAATCCCAGGGCTCATCTACGGCAAGTACCTTCTCTACCTGTCCCGCCAGTCACGCCATGAGTACGCCAAGGCGAATTCCCTGGTCCAGCAAGCTCTGGGCTCTATCAAGACCGTTTACTCCTTCACAGCCGAGAAAAGGATCATCCAGAAATACACAGCAATCCTTGACAAGACGATCAAGCTGGGGATCAAACAAGGCATTGCAAAGGGTCTTGCTGTTGGGTTCACCAGACTTTCTTTTGCCATTTGGGCGTTTCTCGCATGGTACGGTGGCAGATTGGTGATGTTACATCATGTAAGTGGTGGAAGGATATATGCTGCTGGGATTTCATTCGTCTTGGGTGGCCTGTATGTTTCTTGTACTCTTTAAGTTTTACTGACTTCATGACTCCATCTGATCATGTTTCTTGTACTCTTTAAGCCTTACTGACTTCATGACTCCATCTGATCATGTAGAAATAGAAGCTTAACTAACAATTTTTTACTGAATGTTGCAGATCCCTTGGAATGGCACTCCCTGAGCTGAAACATTTCACTGAGGCATCTGTTGCTGCCACAAGAATCCTTGATCGGATAAACCGTGTTCCCCAGATTAATGCTGATGACCCAAAAGGCCTTATTTTGGACCAAATTCAGGGAGAGCTCGAATTTGAATCTGTCCGTTTCGTGTACCCATCAAGACCAAATATGCCAGTCCTCAAAAACTTCAACCTCCAGATTCCTGCTGGGCGAACTATTGCTTTGGTTGGGTCCAGTGGCAGCGGCAAGTCAACAGCAATAGCTTTAGTGCAGCGCTTCTATGATGCCAGTGAAGGAACTGTCAAAATTGATGGTTTTGACATTAAAGGACTCCAGCCCAAATGGATCAGGAGCAAAATGGGGCTAGTCAGCCAGGATCATGCATTGTTTGGTACTTCAATAAAAGAGAACATCTTGTTTGGCAAACCAGATGGGACCATGGATGAGGTTTATGCAGCAGCTATGACAGCAAATGCTCACAACTTCATAAGGGGGCTTCCAGAGGAATATGAGACTAAGGTACGCGCATCAAAAGTGAAAAGGAACATTCAGCCACCTTAATTCCATGTCTCATACATACTTTATGGTCCATTCTTGCAGATTGGTGAGCGTGGAGCATTGTTATCAGATGGCCAAAAGCAGCGTATTGCCATTGGCCCATTGCAAGGGCGATAATTAAGAACCCTGCTATACTCTTGCTCGATGAAGCCACAAGTGCACTGGATTCAGAATCAGAAAACTTGGTACAGCATGCACTTGATCAAGCATCCACAGGACGAACAACACTGGTAAATTGCCACTGCTTCCACTCTTCATACCTTTTTTGAGGAAACTCACTCTTCATACTTAATAACCCTTATATCAGAACTTCTTGAATTACTTAGAACTTCAGCTTTTTGAAGAGAAAATCATTTGACGTTGAATCCCTGATTATTCATTAACAATGGTCAGGTAGTAGCTCATAAGCTCTCAACTGTGAAGAACGCTGATCAGATCGCAGTAGTTGATGGGGGTACAATCGCTGAAATTGGTACACATGATGAACTGATCAGCAAGGGTGGCCCGTACTCGAGACTTGTGAAATTGCAGATGGTAAGCTACATTGATCAAGAAAATGAACAATTTAGGGCTTCCTCAGTGGCCAGGACAAGTACCAGCCGTCACAGCATGTCCAGAGCAAGTCCAATGCCACTAACACCAGCTATCTTAAAGGAAAATAATTCTGATGTTCCTCCACCTGCACCATCTTTCTCCAGGCTTCTTGCAATGAATGCGCCTGAGTGGAGGCAGGCAGTCTTTGGCAGTTTACCTGCATTGGTATATGGTTCATTGCAGCCCATCTATGCCATAACCATCGGAGGAATGATTGCTGTATTCTTTGTTCAGGACCAAAATGAGATGAATGCAAATATCAAACGCTATGCCTTGATCTTCTGCTCACTGTCCTTGGTATCCATTGTTGTGAATCTATTGCAACACTACAATTTTGCATACATGGGGGAGCATCTTGTTAGGCGCATCCGGGTCCAAGTACTTGAGAAGATCTTAACCTTTGAGGCAGCATGGTTTGATGAAGAAACTAATTCAAGCGGTGCATTGTGCTCTCGGCTAAGCAATGAGGCTTCTCTTGTCAAAACCCTTGTTGCAGATAGAATATCCTTACTGCTTCAAACAGCTTCTGGAATTATAATTGTGGTGACAATGGGCCTGATTGTAGCTTGGAAACTTGCTCTTGTCATGATAGCTGTACAGTCATCTACAATGATATGCTATTATGCAAAAAAAAGTGGTTCTCTCAAACGTGTCAAGGGACTTGGCAAAGGCTCAGCATCATAGCACCCAGATTGCCATAGAAGCTGTTGACAACCACAGGATGGTAACCTCCTTTGGATGCTCATCGAAGGTTCTTCAGCTATTCGAGCATGCACAAGAGGAACCCTTGAAAAAAGCAAGGAAGAAATCATGGGTAGCAGGGATAACCACAGGGTTGTCACCTTGCCTCTCGTTCTTGTCATGGGCACTGGCCTTCTGGTATGGTGGGAAGCTGGCACAGTCTGGGGAGATATCAGCGGGTGATGTTTTCAAAACCTTTTTCGTGCTGGTGAGCACAGGAAAGCTGATTGCTGATGCTGGTAGCATGACATCTGACCTGGCAAAGGGAGCAAATGCAGTTGCTTCAGTATTTGAGGTGCTAGATAGGAAATCCATCTCTCCAAAAAATTCACAGGTAACAAACTCATTCGTAAGCATCATACAGAATACATATCGGCAAAGCAGTTATGCGAGTATAGAATGATTTTACAACGCGGTCTTGCTATGAGTGAGAATAATATACATCTATGTTGCAGGTGGAGAAGGAAGATCAGAAGAAGAAAATAGAAGGTAGAATAGAATTCAAGGAGGTAGGTTTTGCATATCCAACAAGACCAGAATGCCTTATCCTACAGGATTTTAGCTTGGACGTGAAAGAAGGAACGAGTGTTGGCCTGGTTGGGAGAAGCGGTTGTGGTAAATCAACTATCATAGATTTGATCCAGAGGTTCTACGATGTTGATAGGGGGGCCGTAAGAATTGATGGTATGGATGTGAGGGAGATGAATATTCTCTGGTTCCGAGGATTTACAGCTCTTGTTAGTCAGGAGCCTGCAATGTTTTCGGGCAGTGTCAGGGACAACATTGCTTTTGGTAAACCAGAAGCTGATGAAGATGAGATTGTGGAAGCTGCAAACGCACATGAGTTCATCTCGTAAGTCTTTTTACTTGTTTCTATTCCAAAATTGTATAAATCTTGCAAGCATGCCTTTTATTTCAACTCGCATTGTATAACACAAGGAACTAAGTTGATTATTTTTCAGATCCTTGGAGGATGGATACGATACTGATTGCGGAGAGCATGGTATACAGCTCTCAGGGGGACAGAAGCAAAGAATTGCAATTGCAAGGGCAATAATCCGGAATCCAGCAATACTACTACTTGATGAAGCAACAAGTGCGCTTGATGCGCAGTCAGAGCAAGTGGTGCAGGAAGCTCTTGATCGAATAATGTCAAGGAGGACCACAATTGTGGTGGCACATCGACTAAACACAATCAAGAATGTAGACTCGATTGCTTTCCTGGGAGAGGGTACAGTGGTGGAGCGTGGCTCTTACCCGGAGCTCATGAACAAGAAGGGAGCATTCTACCACCTCGCAACTCTTCAGAAGTAACTGACTGTATGTAATGTAAACTATTATATCTAATGAAACTCCTGCAGTAATTGATATTATTGCTAGGTTGCTATAGCACAGAAGCAGCACTCCTAAGCTAGTTTTCAAGCAACTCTTTCAATAACCAGTTAATATATAAATATATATATTTGACACAATCCTCGCCTTTCAAAGTTTCTGGTGGTCTAAGATTGGCAAAAAAAATATATATAAAGAAATGATAATATGGCCTAGTAACTAAAAAAAAGTATGATAAGGAAAAGCAAGCATTATAAATCACTTGAATGCAACTTAAGTATGAAGCAGATGAAATATTTAGAACATACACTTACAACATATGTGTCAAACATATGCAACATCTAGATAAAACAATTGCAACTTACAACATAAAAACACTTATTGCAACGTAAGACTGAAACAACTGAAATATTTCGAACATACTCTTGTAGCATATGTGTGAAACATATGCAACATCCAAATATGCACACTTGCAACATACATCTGAAAAAGCAGATGAAACATTTAGAACGGATGCTTGTAACATACGTGTACAACCATTGCAACATCACGATCTATTTTTACAACATCCATATGAAACACTTGCAACATACCTCTGAAACAACTGAAACATACTCTTGCAACATACGCTTTCAATGCAACATCTCTTTGTTGCTCGGCAAAATGAAGGCTCATCGATGTGTGGTGTTCACCGGAGGTAGCGGCCCGGCGGCGCTTGTAGGCAGCGAGCCGCGGCAGTGGCTGCACGACGCGAAAGGGTGGCATCGGCCTCATGAGCAGCGGGGAGGCTGCAGCTGCACGACTTGGAGAGGGCAACAGCGTGTCGCGCCTGGCAAGCCCAGCAGCCGAGCTTCACGACTCGGAGGCAGCTGCGCGCCGTGCCCGGCAAGGCCAGCTACCGAGCGGTGCGCCTCGAAGGTGGCAGACGAGCGGATAAGAGCGATAGGAAGAGAAACGAGTGGATAGAAATAAGTTGATGAGCAATTCTTTTTTTAAACAAAGGAGCATGGATTATTGGGCTAGCATCTGACCTAGCAATGGACCGCCCGGAAGGACAGACGCCCGTTTCAGAGCGTTACCGAAAAGAATGTCCATGAAAGGACTTACCGTGAAGTGACCGTAGCCAGAAAATAAATAACTGTAATCAAAGGCTTACACCTTCTTTACTCTTTCTTGAAGTTGATACTTAGTAGATTTCCTTTGGAGAGTTCAATCTCCATACTCATGTTATCCATCTCTACTTTAACCAATGCCCCTACGTCAATTGATCAAGATTCAGTAGAGGTTAGCTGCTCTTTTTTCTTTTTTTCTTTTTTTATCTCGGCTAACTGCTCTTTTAACTTATCAACCATGGTATAGTATTTTTCTCTCACAACAAATCAACGAACAGTACTTTTCAGCCTGGCTTTTCAGCGAAACGAAAAAGAGTCTGTTCATGGCTCTTCCGAGCCATCAATCAAGCCTGCGCCGGGCAGGAGGCAGTGTCTCCGCCTCTCGGGTGGCAAGGTAGCTTTCTGGCCGGTACTTGCCTCTCCCCCTGCTGCCGTTTCAAGCTGGAACAGTAATGAAAAAAAAGTCCATTTTACCTGCCTCAAATATTGTATAAATTCGATTTACCTTCCTCAATAGAAATCGATCTTTTAGACTCCTCCAACTATTAAAACCGTCTAATTTATCTTCCTGAGCAGTTTTGAGAGTCGTTTGTGGCACCAAGTCACGCCAGGAGAGGTAAATTAGACTTTAGTGATAGTTCAGGGGGGGGTCAATTAGTATATTTTTTTCCAAAAAATTGTCTAAATATTTTTCTAGAATAAATATGCATTTAAAAAGACTAAATCTGATTAATTATTATTAAATTGTTTTAACTCGGAAAAATATGAAACCAGTTTCATGTTTTTCCTAATGTTCTACTTTTTTTTTCTTTCTTATATTGTCTCCTAAAATTTGAAACTAGGGCTAATATGAAACTGGATACATATTTGAATCTAGGATAAATATGAAACTCGGAAATACGAAACATGTTACATATTTTTCTGAGTTAAAAACAAATTTTCTATGATTTTTCTAATATTAAATCAAATTTTAGTATTTTTAAATGCGTATTTATTCTAGGAAAGCATGTGCATTTTTAGGAAAAAATATTTGTAGAAACTGACTAACTTGGCGCCATGTAGGACAATTGACGTGGCGCCACGTCAGCCAAAACCATTGTCAAAACTGCTCGGAGAGGTAAATCGGATGGTTTCAATAGTTGAAGGAGTAAAAAAAAACAGGTTTTCTAATTAAGTGAGGTA